CCCAGAACCAGACTTATTCTATGTTTTTTACTGGTTTATCTTCCGTTTAACATTTTTGCAAGTGGTAATTATGGCTTTTCTGGGAACAGGAGTTGAAACAGGACAGATTTTCCCATGCAATGACCATTTTCTTCTAACAGTGACAGAAGACAGAAAAGCATTTTGGACAGGAGGTGTTAGGGTGATTATCCATGTACAGAGAATGAGAAAGTCTGAATGTAAACTATGATCTCAACCCAACTAATCTGGCATTTTTTATTTTTAATAAATAAATGACCAGAAATTGCTTCTCAGAATGCTTCATGTCTATATTACACTAAGCAATGGATGGTTCTGTAGACCAAATAATTTATTTTGGTCAAGTAATTCCTCACATTTCATGAACTCCAAAAAGAGTAAGATCTGCTCACTGCAGGCACCAGATCATCATAGGCTTGTGCTTTAAATAGTATCAAATATCTAAGCCTGATCCCCGGGTTTTCCTAACAACAGAGACCGCAGTTTCAGTGGGGGGTTGTTTTTTGGTGGCATATCAGGATTTTTCCTCCCTCCATTGCTCATTCTGACTCCCAACATCTCCTCAGCGAAGACCCCTACCTACCTACTGAACCAAGGCAGTGAAGTTCACCAAGTCTGATTAAAAACACCCTCCTTTTTTTGAACCACGTTACCTGTTTACTGACCTGGCTTATCTGGCAGCCCTATGACTCGTATTTACATGACTCACAGAGCGGTACAGGGGGGAAAAAAGGGGAACTGAATGCAGAGAGGCAAGTAGAAACTTCTCAAGTCAGTGCTCCTACCAAAAACATTTAGCATGAAACCAAGACCTAAGTCACTCACTTCCCTGTTTTCCTTACAAAGTTTCAGTAAAGTAGAGATGTAGCAAACTGTGCATTATTAAGCAATTTATAYAGCAGCTAGTAAGAACCAGCCTAGGAAATGCAACTCATTCTTGTCTTTATAAGGGGGATGGGATAGGGCAGAGAAGCCCATGCATTTTGGACAATCTGAGGACTGCCTTCAGTTTCTGTATGAATAATAATAATTAAAAGTGGATGTAACTAATTGGAATCCATTCCACAGCAGTAACATGATCCCTTTCATTGCCAATCCCTTGAGTCACTCTGTTCTCCAGATGATTATTTTTCTGCGTTTCCCTAATACAATTTGAATACCGCCTTTCACACTGCTAATGGATCCAGCGTGGGTTGACACTCTTGGAGCATTTAAGCCCACTGCCAGCTCAGTTAGCTCTGAAGCACCACAGCACTTACCCTGTATTTCACCAGAAAACTGCCCAATTTTATCCTTAAAATCACCTCTGCCATCCAGAAGCTGAGTGCTAACCCAGCTGTGTGATTACCTATTATTTGCCCAGTACAATCTGAATTAAAAGCTGTGATGGGCGTCTCACGATGACAGCTTTCCTTCTGAGAAGCTTTACTGGCGCTTGCTTTGCAACGTGGTCTGTGGTTGGGACATAGTGGCCTGAGCAAGATTTATTTCCTTATGGCCAGAAAACATGGACATTTCCAAAACTGCCAAACTGATCGGTGTTTGCTGAAAAATCAAAGCTGCCAATGTCAGGCACATAGCCTGAGCAGCCACAAGCCTGTTGCAAAGCAGGGCTCCCCTTTTGAGGCCTCTTGGGAGGAGAAATTTGTTCAGGGGTTTGAAGGTCCCAGGGGAAGGCAAAGCCCAAAGCTGTTAAACTTCAGCCCATCCAGATGCAGAGGAAGATTCTCTCCTTGTACACGTGACACTGGTCTTGAGTCACCTCATGGGAGTGGTAATCTCTCCAGATAGGGAGCTGATCTCCAGGCTCATTCCTAGGCTTCTTTAGGTTGTTGCTCCCTTCCAGGCCACTACCAGCATTAGGAATAGAACAAGGCTGGGGGGAAGAAGTCTCCCTTGACTGGAAGAGGAGGCTGCTTCCAGCGGAGTTCTAGAAAACCCTGCCAGGACTGCGAAACACAGTTCCCTCTACCAGGCACTGAATAGGGTCAGTGCAGGCAGGGCCACTGGACCAGCGCTCTTGTTGGGTGATGATCATGGCTACCTCGGCATTGCTCTGATCAAGATAATTTTGTTTTGATCAAGATAATTTCTGCATCACAAGCTCTGGTGTCCATTGCACTGTGCAGCTGCTGCCTAGCAGGGATTTTCCTGGCAAAGCTAATAACATCCAAGAGCTGGATTCAAATCTCTCTGAAATTAGGAGGCTTCTTGTGAGCTGTGACAGAGCTTGGATGAGGTCCACAGCCTCACGGATCAAAAGCACCTCTTTTCTTCAGGAGCTTGGCTATTTCKGTCACTTTTGGGATCGGTGCTATTAGCTTTCATGTGGCACTGAAACCCTCCCTTGTTTCATCAGCTTTCTGGATGTCTCCTAAAATAACATGTGTGATGGTAAACTGGGAACCTGGCAGCCTGGTGGAAAGCAGGCCTCAACAGCTCATGTGAACTGATGGCTTCACTTCATTTTCATCACGGCCACGGTTCAGTGAGGAAGTGAATCTGGCCATAATGATGAAGTGAATTYGGGTTGTTAGCATGGGATCAAACACTGCCTAGCTGCATGGAGCAAAGCACTTCCAGTGCGAAATCATCTTTGCTAGCTGACATTTCCTGAAAACATTTTAAAGGGTCAGTTCTATACTAACAGATTTTATGCCAGGTCAAGGACTTGTCCTGCAGGAACAAGTCCTGGGGAGGTTTCTGAACCTTCAGCTTTGTAACTATTAGCCAGGCAAAGTTCTACAGGCCCTGAACATCAAGTGTTTATTTTCCCTGATGGATAACCCAGCAACTTGGACGGTCATACAATGTCTTGATTTGGTGCACCTGGAAGGGTTCAGTTTTGTCCAGTGTTGAAGGCACTAAAATGGCTTAATTGCCCTAACCAGCCTCATTGGAACAGCCCCCAAAATCCTGACTTATGGGCCCAGAGGCTCCATAATCAGCTCAAGCCTGGGCCATCGATCCTGGCTTCGAGTATGCTAAAGGTGTGCTGGTCTCAAGTTTTGTCTCCAGCCCTGTCTCTTGTACGGACTTTGGACCTATGTTGTACTGGCCTCACTGGCCTTGTCTCCTGAGGACCTCACACCTATGTCGTAGCAGCATCTCTGGTCCTGTCTCCTGAAGGACCTCAGGTCTACGYTATAGCCTTGTTTCCTGTCCTGTCTCTGGCCATGCCTGGACTCCCTGGGTGGACCTGGCTCTGGTCCATCTCTTGCCATGCCTGGGGCTACTGATGGCTCCTGTTACAGGGCCTGGTAGTGCCTCGTGTTGCAGGACTGTGCAGGTTGGATGAGAGCACTGCATAGGCTGTGGTTGCCCTTGCTTGCAGCTCATGTGCCTTTGGGGAGCAGCCCTGCTCTTGCTCTCTGACACATCCTTTCACCACAGGAAATGCGCTACATTGTGGAGAAGACAAAAAAAAAAAACAAAAAAAAAACTCTTCATGTGCTGAACAGTCACCATTCTGCAAAGTTTCTGTGCTCACTGCCTTGGGAATAGTGAGCTCCACCCAAACTATCATAGGGATGAGAAACTATTGCTACCCGTTTTTTTGGGGGAGGGGCGGGTTGTTGGTTTTTTTGTTTGATTTTTTTTTTTTTTTTTAGAGGAGGAGGAATAAAGTTAAGGAGATGTGGCAGAGTTGGAGCAAAACCTTCCCATCCTAGTGCTCCTGAGAGCATGGATGAAGATCATCTCTAGTCTGGGAGGATGGACTTTCACCTTAGCAATGCAAGGTGCAAGTCCTGAAAAGTATTCTGTGTCTCCCATCGCCCCATATCTTCAAACTGGTGGGACGAAAACTAGTGGAATAATTCTAATTGAATTATTGTGAGTGTTATTTTTCTCAGCACCTTGCCTTGGATTTTCCCTCTTTGGATAGAAATCTTGGCAGCTGTTGGGAGCTGGCCCACGAGCAGCACTGCCCGATGTGCAGCAGGGTCTGCATGTGGTCTGGTTATCCTGAGGGTGGGAATGCTGGGATCTCCCATGGCTGTGGTGGGAAACTCGTCTTGCAAAGTAGGAATACGGTACGAGGAAACACCCACCTTCCTGAACACCTCATAGGGCCCAGTCTCCAAAACAYGAGGTGCCCATGCTTGGCACATCCGTGATGCGGCATCATGGATGTGGTCCATGGCTGAGGGTGATTGCAGCGGCTTTACCCATCGCCTCAACTCCGGCTTYCTCCCAACCATAAGCAAAACCCTCCAGAAATGCCGCTCATCCTCGAGCGCTCCCAGGCGCGCCCGGCAKCACTGTGGGCTGAGAAGAGCCCAGCGCCCACACGGAGCTCCCGGGCACCCCTGTGACAAGTCCACCAGCCTGGCCATGCGCGCCGCAATCCGTGGGGCTGGGAGCAGAGAAATTGATTTAAAGGAGGAAAATGAGGGTGGGAAGACAAAAAAAAAAAAAAAAA